TATAACTGGTATTTCATTTTATTTTCAAATCCTTCTTTTGCTTAGTTGGTTAGAATTTCCTTTTATATATTGTGAGTTTTGGGTTCGATTCATTCCCCTCCATTTCATTGTGCAAAATTTTTACTTCTACAATATTTACCAAAATTAATTCCCTAAGGAAAAGATTTAAACCTATAACTTCTAGAGTTAGGATGTTGGAAGCTTAACCATTATGGTAATGGTTGAATTTTGAATCTAAATTTAACAAAATAATATATGTTAAGACTTTATGAGAGGTTTTTTCTTTTCTTTTTTGTCGTTTTAAATATTTTATGCTTTAATGATTTATAAGATATAACTTATGAGTATTGAGTTTTAATTTATATGTTATTTGAGAATTTGTTTACTATGAATTGTGATATTAAAAATTAATTTGAGTATCGTGAAATGTAATTATGTGATTCATGAAAATTGAAAATGAGAAATTAAGGAATTAGTAATTTGTAATTTGTAATTTGTAATGAATTGGTGTTGAGAATTGAAAATTGAAACTTTAATTATATTTTAAAATTAATTTTAATTACGTTTAATCTTTAAGTAACGTTCAATTCTCATACTAATTATGGAATGATTTTTTCAACTGAATTTCAATCTAATTCTTGTAGTGGTGTATCTAATCTCTCGACTACTTTTATTCAAGCAAATAATTTGTTAAGTATTGATAACACAAAAAAATCTTATGTATCATGTAATTTATATTATTTCGGATTATATGGAAATATAATATGATATAAATATACGATTTTTACGTTTTAGTATATTTACATATAGATCGAAGAATTTTTAATATTATTTAATTTAATATTAATAAACAATATCGTTATACGATCATTGACTATCGACAATTAATGGCCAACGATCAACTGTCGCCCTAGCTGAGTTGAAATCCTGAATTCGCCCTGATAATGTCCCCACAATTCCTCACATTTGCTCCATCCAGACCGTTCAGATCATCATCATCATCATTATTCAAATTTATATCGTGTGAACTAAAAATTAAATAAATAATTAAATGAGGATATATGGATGGCAAAGGGGATGGTCATCCTTGTCCCTTTCCATTGTAGGCTTTTAGGGGGTAGGGAGAGCACGAGATAAGAATAATTTTATTTATCGTCCTGTTTAATTTTTTTAATATTATTTTTTTAAAAAAATATAAAAAAATAAAAAGATTCGGTACAGGAAAATGCATGGTGTGTTGAGGCAGAAAATTTTTCTATCCTGCAAAAATATTTTAATTCTCATCCTACCTTCCTCCTATTACCCGCCGCACCTTATTACCATTCCTATTATTATAACAAGTACAAATATTAGAGAAAAAATTATAATTTTATTCAAACATTATCAAATATACTCGATAAGAGAGATGCTGGCTGTACAGGGCCTATATAACCCCTCACACATGTACGCGTGGGTGAGTTTTTTTATTTATTTATAAATAATCACCCACCCACCCACCTTGCCCTGTGAGTGGCCTGGCCTGTGAAGCCAGCAAAATTGACTCAATAATTGTTATTTAGCTAAAAAGAATGTTTATTTAAACAAGAAATCTTGAGAAACAGGGGTAAACAAACTAGGATATATGGTACAAAATATTCAATAATATATTCAAGAAATAAAAATATATTTTGACTAATAAGGAAGAATACGTTATTGATAAGATAATGGCTAATTGGCACAGAACGTCCCCATCTTTCAAATTTATTATGGAAAACATTCATACTTTTCATTTTTTGACATTTTCACCCTTACTTTCCACCTTCCTTTGCGCAAAAGGTCATTTTCATCAATTTTTAACAATTTTACCCTTCGTTCAAATAAAACAAAAAGAAAAGAAAAGGAACTAATTGCAACTATAGTCCCAAAATTTTCAAAAAATTACAAATCAGTCACAATTTTCAAATAACTAGTACCAACACTTTTTTTCATCTATTTTTTAAGTTTTTTCATTTTCATTGGCTATGATTCAAAAATTGTGAAATGATAAAGTAAAAGCAATATTCATATCAAACTTTTGTAACTTCAAAGCTATCTTCACTTCGTGATGGAGCCATGGCCTTTTCAAAATATTCATATCAAAATATAAATATTCAGTACAGGAAAATGCATGGTGTGTTGAGGCAAAAAAAATTTCTATCCTGCAAAAATATTTTAATTCTCACCTACCTTCCTCCCATTACCCGCCGCGCCTTATTACCATTCCTATTATTATAATAATAACAAAAATTAGAGAAAAAAATTATAATTTTATTCAAACAATATCAAATATACTCGATAAGAGAGATACTGGCTGTACAGGGCCTATATAGCCCCTCACACATGTACGCATAGGTGAGTTTTTTTATTTATTTATAAATAATCACCCACCCACCTTGCCCTGTGAGTGGCCTGGCCTGTGAAGCCAGCAAAATTGACTCAATAATTGTTATTTAGCTAAAAAGAATGTTTATTTAAACAAGAAATCTTGAGAAACAGGGGTAAACAAACTAGGATATATGGTACAAAATATTCAATAATATATTCAAGAAATAAAAATATATTTTGACTAATAAGGAAGAATACGTTATTGATAAGATAATGGCTAATTGGCACAGAACGTCCCCATCTTTCAAATTTATTATGGAAAAAATTCATACCTTTCATTTTTTGACATTTTCACCCTTACTTTCCACCTTCCTTTGCGCAAAATGTCATTTTCATCAATTTTTAACAATTTTACCTTTCGTTCAAATAAAACAAAAAGAAAAGAAAAAGAACTAATTGCAACTATAGTCCCAATTTTCAAAAAATTACAAATCAGTCACAATTTTCAAATAACTAGTACCAGCACTTTTTTTCAGCTATTTTTTAAGTTTTTTTCATTTTCATTGGCTATGATTCAAAATTTGTGAAATGATAAAAGTAAAAGCAATATTCATATCAAACTTTTGTAACTTCAAAACTATCTTCACTTCGTGATGGAGCCATGTCCTTTTCAATCAAGTACTGATACAAATTCCTAGCAAAATTTCCAACTCAATGGCCCGCTATGGTGGCTGGAAGAAACATGAAATCGGAGGTGAAGACAGCTACAATGGCCAAATAAGACACTAACATTTTAAGGGCTCGCATTTGGGAATGATTCAACAATGCAGCTTTTGAATCAATTTGCTTGTGAATTAGATAAAATGAACAAAATTCAAAATTGAAAGTCAGCAGATATACCAGAAAGAGAGAGATAAGATCAAATAGGGTTTGGTGATCTAGCCATCCTGCGAATAACCTTTTTTTGCCATAAAAGATATGTAGATTTGAACTACGTAAAGTTCACATCCCAAAAACTCCAGTAAATTAATAGTATAAGTTTTCACTCCACATTCAACAAGTCAATATCATTTATTTTCTTAACAAAACCAACTACACAAGTTTGACGATTCCAACAGGAACCAGACTAGAAAAATCAGAAAATTAAAACCACACCCCAGGTAATATCAACCTTTCTAATCACATTCAGTGTGTTGAGTCTGTGAAGAATCGAATTCAAGCCGTTCTAGTGCTTTTTGGTGGGCCCATGTCTCGATGGTGAGATCAAACTTGGCGTTGAGACCTACTCCAAGGATAACGATTGTGAGGAAGCCG